AACCACAGAAGACCATACACAGCAACCCTCTACTCCGGGAATGCCTACTGACGAGAATACCCCACTAGCACTCCGAAGACCAATCAGAAGAGCAAGCCAATTCGACGAGGCTCTTTTGAGGGAGGAGAGTTGTGGTGATTCGGATCTACGAGATCATGCCTGCCCTGGAACAGCGCGGTACAGTTTCCAGACATTGGTAGTCAATCGACCTTGAGCAATGACGCCAGTAGCACGTGCACAGCCTCCGGATACACGTCATTGGTGCACCGTTCCAGCCAATCAGATACAATGCAGAGAAGAGCAGTATGACGCAAGATGTGATGCAATATGATTGGTGGAAACTAAGGTAGCCAATGATCTTTTCTTGTGTACATATATATTCACTTTCATTTCCTTCAATAAACGACTTTGTGATTCGCCTGTCTTGTGGCCTTCTTCCTCGCGTCTCGATCCTGCGGGTTATTGCGAGTTCGAGCCATTGCGGTCCAGTGTCATCGGTTTTCTAATTCGTGTTCCGTGATTCCGATTGCGTAGTTCGTGTCCTGAATTCTGTGCGTAACTTCACTACTACTACTTCCATTATCATTACAAATTGGCGTCGCGCAATGGAGCTTCCAAGTATTGAACAATTGAACCTGCAAGCCAGTCCATCTGAGATCGAGGAATGGGTAGAGCGATTCGAACTGTGGTGCAGTATTCGAAAAGGTGGTGTGCAAAACCAATCCGCCCTATTTCTCACTGCTGGTGGCCGTGGTCTGTATTCGCTGCTGAAAAACCTAGCATTTCTCGAGGTTCCCGCCAAACTTCCATAGGTGTCTTTGAAAGCGCTCCTGCTCAACCATCTGCTGCCTACTGAATTCCAAGCCCACGAACGTGCTAAATTCAATTCCATGATCCGTGCTGACCACATGTCTTGCCGTGATTTCATCCTGCAGCTAAACCGACAGGCATCACGCTGCAACTACGGTGATCGTTTGGAAGAACAGATGTGTGATCGCTTGGTAGCGGGCATCAACAATCTCAGTCTACAACGCAAGTTACTGGAGAAGAAGGATTTAACTTTTGCCGAAGCCCGGAAAATTTGTGAACAGCATGATGACTTGATGAAGGCTACTTCCAGTGAAGCAGTCACATTATTCCAACGGCAGAAGACTCCACCGAATCGACCTCCAACGGCCAAACGTGCACCAAAGCCGCAGAAAGATTCCCCAGGTAACGAAAAACGAATCAATCCATGTTTGTCTTGTGGAGATCACCACCTACGCTCCAATTGCCGCTTTCGTAATGCCAAATGTCATGCCTGCGGAAAAATTGGCCACATTCGGAGAGTATGTAAACAAACTCGTTGCAATCTTACACAGCCAAATGCTTCAAACGACACACACCTTGTGCTCTCTCTACGTTCTGAAGGCCCAGCCACCCAATTTCTGTACCGAGATTTGACATTACAATCTGGTACAACTCACAAATTTATTGTTGACACTGGAAGTAAGGAATCTATTATTTCTAATGCTGTGCTTCGATCCATATGCCCCCAAGCAAAAATTCAACCGACATCCATGCGAATTCTTGGTGTAACTGGACACCAATTACCATTGATTGGCGAGGTTTCATTGATGGTTCACTCAACAGAAAATCGCCTTGTCCCAATCCGCTTCCTTTTTGCGAAAAAGAGTCCATCCATACTTGGCCTAACTGCAATTCGCGCTCTGAACCATTCTATGTCGCTCCATACGAGTTCCCTGCCCAATGTGCACACCCGTCTACAGCGACTGATTGTGCAATGTTCAAATAACACAGGAGGCATGAAAGTTCGACCGACCAAACTGAAAGTTGAGGGAGAACCTGTCTTTTTGAAACGCCTTGTCATTCCCCATGGCCAGCGTGAAGGGGTATTGAAAGCTCTTGAGAAAATGGAGCATGACGGCATCCTCACTCGAGTAACATCCAGCGCGTGGGCAACACCAATTGTGATCGCAATGAAAAGTGATGGTAAGACACCTTATGATCGCAATGAAAAGTGATGGTAAGACACCAAGAATTTGCGGTGACTACAGACTAACACAACCCCCGGCTGCGAAAGTGTGCGACTACTAGCATGGAACCAGAAGATTTCATGAAAGCTTTACATGGCAGCACATATTTTTCGAAGATTGACCTGGCTGATGCCTACCTCCAGATCCCGCTTGATCCCGCATGCCGCCAATTCACCACGATCAATACACCATGGGGACTGCATCCGTTCTCGTCCGTGGCGCATGCTAACCAGGTAGCTATGTACACTTTCTCAACCCATTATTACCAGTGCACGGAACCAGCCTCAAAGCAGGATCCGTGGAACACAATTCAGTCCGGTGCATACTTTCACAAATAATGCGACCCAACATCACTAAGCAACATGTTTCGCGAATTGTTTTCACTCAATCCCATCCGTTCTAGTCCATGGCACATGCTAACCAGGTAGCTGTGTACACTTTCTTAACCCATTATTGCCAGTACACGGAACCAGCGTCAAAGCAGGATCCGTGGAATACAATCCTGTGTGGTATATACTCTTATATATATACTCTTACATGTTTTGTGATTCAATATTCTGTAGTCGACTCCGTACCCTATCATTTTAGTACAACTTTCTTGGTGTCCACTCATTTTCTGTTTTGTTCCGCCGCATGCTCCGTTTCCCGCTCTCCTTCCCTTTTTTCAGCTGGGTACTACCCCAGACTGTTGCATATCGCCTCTTTGTTCCAGATTCGTTTGGTTTGAGCCTGACGAAGGCTTGGTGTCCTCACCCGCAATGGACAATTTGGCTCCGGCAATGGTTGTTGGGCACGGCTGTTTCCACCGTTTTGACTACACGTGTCCGCGTTCTGGACCAGGTTGAGAATTACACCCCCTGCCTCACCTACAAGGTGTTTTAAGGTCAGGTGTCTAGCGGGTAGTCAGTCCCACATCAAAGCGACCAAGGCCTAATTAATCTAAACAAACCAAACCACTCGTGATTGATTGAAGCCCCGAACCCGATGAACTTGTCTCCAAAAGCGAGTTGTATTGCAGAATAGAGTGAAACATGTTCCTTTACCGACGTATTATTCTGCTGTGTTCCTCATTTTCTATTTCTGTCCTCATGCCTCTACCATCGGGCAGCATTTGTATTACAGACCTCCTCTTCGTATTTTCCACGCTTTTGCCGTACCGCCAATCCTTCCGAGACCAGCTTTACTATTACTTGCAGTTCTAGTGACATGTATTTTTCGCTGCATCCTCCATCCTTCATAAATTCGTCTATGACCTTGTCCGGTTTGTGTTCCTTTCACTCTGTGTTTTCATTCTGATCCCCACCATTTTTTAAATATTTATTATTGTCTACCTATGTACTTACGCTGTTATTGTACGTATACTCGCTCTGAACATTTGATCATGCATTGGGCATGTCTCACGGGCTTCGTGAAATATACACCTATTATTATTATTATAAAAAAAATTCGTGTCTACAAAGACAATGCGG